GAGACCCGGCAGTGCCTGGGTTATTTGAGAAAGGCATTGTTTGTCTGTGCTCCAAGTTTAGTCTAGATCCAATGTCGACTGGGTTCAGTGAGTGCGGGTGAATTACAACTCCCATATGTAAGTCCTATCGTCCACGGTCCTTCCTCTTCCAAGCCACACTAGGATGTAGAGTGGGTCATGGGGGCTCTGTGTGCCAAGTTTGGTCTTGATCGGTCACTGGTGTGGATCACACTGGTCTCTGGAAGTGAGTGAAGGTACTGTAAGTCCCATCGTTCATGGTCTGTCATCCCACAGACTGCACCAGGATGTAGAGTGAGTCATGGGGACTCTGTGTGCCTAGCTTATAGCAGAATGGAAGGCATCTGTATTTGCCCAAAGACAATCCCTTTGTGAGAAGGGTGAATCCCAACTGAGTGGATGAGTCAGATTGACTTCACCGGTGCCCTGCGAGTGCACCTTTCCTGTCCTCTGCAGCAGCTGCTGTGGAAACAGAGAGAGTGACAAACTGAACTGACACATCATCATCATCACACCCGAGCCATGAAATGAAGCCTCATGCACCGGCAGTCAAGGGAAGGGAACGAGGGTGCCGGAGTTTACACACCTGAGTCAGACCATTTTGTCCATCTCACCTTGTTTAGGACAGCCTCCCACATCCTAAGATGAGTTTTGCTATGGTTCCCAGCATTCCCAGGCATCAGTTTGTATAGTCTGATCAAAATCTTTTGTTGTATAATGGCTTGAGTATTGAACTAGGAAATTACTTTATAGTCAGTATAAGCTGGAAAAGACTTGAAGGCAGACAACAACGAAAACAGCAGCAACAAGAACTGATCAAGGACTTCAGGAACAGGTATATTCCATCACCTTCAGGGCTGTAGAGTATGTGGATCCCCAGGTTTAACTGAATTAGAGTTCCCATCATCTCTTACCAATGGTTAGGCTGTTGGAGACCAGAATACATCTAGATCAGTGGTTCTCAACCCCTTAATACAGTTCCTCATGTTGTGGTGACCCCCCCCCCCAAACCATAAAATTATTTTTGTTGCTACTTCACAACTGTAATTTTGCTACTGTCATGATGTAAATAGTTTATATGCAGGATGTATTTTCATGTATTTTCAAATACCCAATATGCCCAAATTTGAATAATGGTGGGGTTGGGGGGGGGGGGTATTCATATTGTCATTTGGGAGTTGTAGTTGCAGGGATTTATAGTTCACCTCAATCAAAGAGTATTCTAAACCCCACCAAGAATGGAATTGAACCAAACTTGGCACACAGAACTCCCATGACCAACAGAAAATATTGAAAGGGTTTGGTGAGCATTGGGTTTTTGAGTTGTAGTTCACCTACATCTAGAGAGCACTGTGGACTCAAGCAATGATAGATCTGGATCAAATTTATCATGAATACTCAATATGCCCAAATGTGAGCACTGGTGGATTTTGGGGAAAATAGACATTGACATTTGGGAGTGTAGTTGCTAGGATTTATAGTTCACCTATAATCAAAGAGCATTCTGAACCCCACCAACAGTAGAATTGGGGCAAACATCCCACAGACAACCCTCATGACCAAGAGATAATACTGTGTTTTCAGATCATCTTTGGCAACCCCTCTGGCACTCCCCCTAAAGTCACTCCCCATAAAGTCACAGGTCTGCAGTTTGGGGGTCCTCCTGGACTCAGCGCTGACACTTGATGTGCAGCTGTTGGCAGTGGCCGGGAGGGCCTTCGCACAGTTAAAACCCGTGTGCCCGCTGCAACTATACCTTGTGAAGTCTGACTTGGCCATGCTGGTCCACACCTTAGTTACCTCTAGACTGGATTACTGTAATGCACTCTACATGGGGCTACCCTTGAAGACGGCCCGGAAACTACAACTTGTCCATCGTTCGGCAGCCAAATTAATAACTGGGGCTAGTTATAGGGAACGGTCGACTCCCATGTTTAAGGAGCTCCACTGGTTGCCATTTATTTTCCGGTCCCAATTCAAGGTAGAGGTTATCACCTACAAAGCCCTGAACGGTTTGGGACCTGCCTACCTTCGTGACTGTATCTCTCTCCACGTACCAACCCGGGCCCTTCGATTTTCGGGGGAGGCCCTCCTTTTGGCAATCTCACAAGCTCGTCTTGTGGGCACAAGGAAGAGAACCTTCTCTTCTGTGGCCCCCCAACACTGGAACTCATTACCTGGAGAGATCAGGAAAGCCCCTTCACTAGAAACGTTCAAAAAGAACCTTAAGACCTGGCTCTTCCGCTGCGCCTTTGGCAAGTAGGTGCACAACATACTATTGCTCCCTTCAATGCTTCTGTCACTGGAATACACAACCCCCAAATGGGAAGTTTAGTTTCACAATTCTGTTTGTTTTCATGAGCTCCCTGCAAAGAACCTGCTCCTATTTTTATCTCATTCGAGTCTTTTAATTGTTTTATCTTGTACGTGTGGCTCGCCCATTGTTATCGTGACTGTGTTTATTGAAATGTTTTTTTTTCTATGTAATTTTGATGATGTTGCTTGTTGTTTATGTTTTGGTTTTATTTGTAATATGTTGTAATATGTTGTCTGGGCTTGGCCCCATGTAAACCGCTCAGAGTCCCCACTGGGGAGATGGTGGCAGGGTATAAATAAAGATTATTATTATTATTATTATTATTATTAATAATAATAATAATAATAATTTAAATGGACAAACGCAGAGGTTGCTCACCAATGCTTCCTCTTCATCCTGGAAAGAAGTGACAAGTGGAGTGCCACAGGGTTCCGTCCTGGGCCCGGTCCTGTTCAACATCTTTATTAATGACTTAGATGAAGGGCTAGAAGGCATGATCATCAAGTTTGCAGATGACACCAAATTGGGAGGGATAGCCAATACTCCAGAAGACAGGAGCAGGATTCAAAACGATCTTGACAGATTAGAGAGATGGGCCAAAACTAACAAAATGAAGTTCAACAGGGACAAATGCAAGATACTCCACTTAGGCAGGAAAAACAAAATGCAAAGATACAGAATGGGGGACAATGCCTGGCTCGAGAGCAGTACGTGTGAAAAAGATCTTGGAGTCCTCGTGGACAACAAGTTAAACATGAGCCGAAAATGTGATGTGGCAGCAAAAAAAGCCAATGGGATTTTGGCCTGCATCAATAGGAGCATAGTGTCTAGATCTAGGGAAGCCACAGGGAGGAGGGAGCAAGCTTGTTTTCTGCTTCTTTGGAGACTAGGACGCGGAACAATGGCTTCAAACTACAAGAGAGGAGATTCCATCTGAACATGAGGAAGAACTTCCTGACTGTGAGAGCCGTTCAGCAGTGGAACTCTCTGCCCCGGAGTGTGGTGGAGGCTCCTTCTTTGGAAGCTTTTAAACAGTGGCTGGATGGCCATCTGTCAGGGGTGATTTGAATGCAATATTCCTGCTTCTTGGAATGTCATTGTTCCTAGTCTCCAGGGCAGCAGAAAACAAGCTTGCTCCCTCCTCCCTATGACTTCCTCTCAGATATTTATACATGTCTCCTCTCAGCCTTCTCTTCTTCAGGCTAAACATGCCCAGCTCCTTAAGCTGCTCCTCATAGGGCTTGTTCTCCAGACCCTTGATCATTTTAGTCGCCCTCCTCTGGACATATTCCAGCTTGTCAATATCTCTCTTGAATTGTGGTGCCCAGAATTGGACACAATATTCCAGGTGTGGTCTAACCAAGCGGAATGTTGACAAGCTGGAATGTGTCCAGAGGAGGGCGACTAAAATGATCAAAGGTCTGGAGAACAAGCCCTATGAGGAGCGGCTTAAGGAGCTGGGCATGTTTAGCCTGAAGAAGAGAAGGCTGAGAGGAGATATTATAGCCATGCATAAATATGTGAGAGGAAGCCACAGGGAGGAGGGAGCAAGCTTGTTTTCTGCTTCCCTGGAGACTAGGACAAGGAACAATGGCTTCAAACTACAAGAGAGGAGATTCCATCTGAACATGAGGAAGAACTTCCTGACTGTGAGAGCTATTCAGCAGTGGGATTTCGTTTCGAGGGGGGGGGCTGAATTTTTTTCAGGGGGGGTCGGGGGGCTGAGTTTTGGGGGGGGGGGGGGGGCTGAGTCTGAGTGAAAGAGGGTCTACCCTAGCAAACCTTTTGTATCATTACCCCAATACCCCCATGCATATGGGATATATTGAGTATGGTGATCAGATCATGATATGAATAAACATAACAGTTTAAATAATGTACCAGTAAGGCCTTCTCGCGGACCGCCATGAGAATTTGGGGGGGGGTGAAGCCCCCCCTAAGGGACGCGGAGGGGGAAAGGTGAAAAAAACACGCGCCCCGGCACGGCGCGCTGAGGGCGGAGGTGCCGTGAGGTGGGGTTAGTATCCGATATCAGGCAAGGTGGGTAACGGGGTGAAGGCGTGGAGCATGGCCGGACGGGGGCGGAGTGATGGTGTGGCACGTCCTTCTTTGGAAAGCTTAAACAGGGGCTGTGAAAATGGAGACGGCGGTAGCTTTCGAGGGGGTGGAGTTTGATTTGAATGCGTACTCCGTGCTTCGTTGGGGGCATGGGTTGACTGGGGATGTGCCCAGGATATCGGTCTTCCAACTCTTTGAATTCGTATGATTCTATGAAATCAGAGAGCATCATGTGTCCCTTTCTTTCAAATATAAGCCATAAGGCAAAGCTCCTGGCCCTCTCCACATGCTTATGCGAAATGGCCCGTGATCCAACACCTCCTGGTTTGGCGAGAAAAGGCGCGATCCCGCGCGACACATTCGCCGAGACTGGTGGGTGAATGGTCATAAGAGTGCTAGTAGTAAACCAACCCACACAGGCGCTGGGGCTCATGGGTGGTCGTGGCAGCATGCCTAATCCTCTTGAGGGCCTGCGGTCGCCTGAGCCGCTGACCCTTCTCTCCTGGAAATCCTGGAAACTAGGAGAACAAGACAGGGACCTCCCGTCCTCCCCGTGGAGTGTGAAGGGCCGAAAATAGGGGGGATATGTGACCTGAGGGATGTCTTCCCATTGTGCCAAGTTTCTTGTTTTGCTGAGTTTTTTCAAAAGTTGGCAGGCAGGCAGTCAAGGGTTAAGGCAGGACTCCGCTGCTCCAGTGGTGGCACCTGTCAGTGGGAGGGAGCTGGTGGAGAGCAGAAAGAGAGAGACACACAGAGAGCGGGAGACTGGAGTGAGTTTACCAGAGTCTCCAGCAAAGCAGGGAGGCAGCCAGGAGAAAGCCACATGGAGGTCTCCAGCTGCAGAGGGTGAAAAAAAGGCATCTTTCTGCCCACGCCTGGCTGGAAAGAGGGCAAAACCTGGCATGGGGGGATCCTAAGGAGGCCAGAGTATAACAACATCAACAAGGAGGAGGAGGCGGCAGACTAGACTGTCCAGACATCGAAAGGAGGGAATAGAGGAGAAGAGGCAGAAAAATGCAGCTGACACGTTGCTGTTTCATATTCCTCATCCAAGGGAGCATCTATCTGCTGGTAAGTGACCGACAGGTTTGGGGAGGGGGCGTGGGTGGCCGAGCAGCAAGACATGCCCTTGCAGATGCCTGAAAGGAAAAGCCAAGGGTCGGCTCAGACCAGCGCTTGCCTACAATTAGTACATTTCCAAGCAGTTTTCATGGTCTGCTGTTTCCCTAACCCCCTTCTTTAGCATGCGCTATGCATTTTGCCTGCTCTTAAAATTTGTCCTTGCATCAACTTTGCCGGAGAGGTTACAGGACTAAAGAAATAATGGAGAGGCTATCCAGTCCAACCCTTAGTGGTCCTTGTGTGGTAGGTGCATCCACTTGTTAAACAACCTCAGTGTTTTTCTTAGAAGCCAAACCTATCAGGCAGTTGGGCATTTTTTCTAATTACGGTACTTTATTTTAACTCTAGGAGCAGTTTTTTCTTGCTTCGTAGCTTTGTGTTGATTATAGGTACCAAGATAGGGGTTAGATGGGGTGGAAGGTGGCAACTCTTCTCATTGCAGTGAAAAAACTGTGGGGCATTGTGCATGACCAAAAGACCCCCGTGAAGTAAATAATTCCAGCTGAGTCAAGCTAGTGAGCCAAGTCACAAAGAAGCCAGCCAGACATGGCAGAGGAAGGCTAGATCATCAATGGCAAATCTGTCTGAGCCGATGATGGGTAGGATGAAGTCCTCTTTACAGCAAACTATCAGATCCTAAGCAAAGTGTGGGGAACAGCATGTCTAAGTTGCAGTGAACAAAACTGGGAAGCCACTAAACCTCTTTCCTCTACTCATAGCAGCTCTTTATGCCCGAGAGAGATTGCGGAACATGTAACTCATGGCAGTTATGCTGTGGGGAGGGAGGGAAGAACCCTCCTAAATCCAGTGGGACACAAAAGGAAGCAGCTGAGCTGAAAATGAATAACAAAGATAACTGATGCTGCTGAACAAGGTTTCAAACTGGAGGCAGATTTGAACACAGGTCCCAGAGCCAGCCCAAACCAAACCAATCATGTGCCACCACAAAATCAGCATCCCCAGCTCTTTTTTTGAAAGATATACCAGTTTCCCAATGCCTCTTTGAAATAGCTGCTTTTTTGGAGGGGGGGGGGGTTGTCAGGAGTGACTTGAGAAACTGCAAGTCGCTTCTGGTGTGAGAGAATTGGCTGTCTCCAAGGACGTTGCCCAGGGGAGACACGGATGTTTGATGTTTTAGCATCCTTGAGGGAGGCTTCTTTCATGTCCCTGCATGGGGAGCTGGAACTGACAGAGGGAGCTCAGCCTGCTCTCCCTGGATTCAAACAACTGACCTGCCAGTCAGAAGTCCTGCTTTCTTTTTCTTTTTCTTTTCTTTTTTGGTCGTGTCAGGAGCGACCTGAGAAACTGCAAGTCACTTCTGGTGTGAGAAAATTGGCCGCCTGCAAGGACGTTGCCCAGGGGATGCCCAGATGATTTGATGTTTTATCATCCTTGTGGGAGGCTTCTCTCATGTCCCCACATGAGGAGCTGGAGCTGATAGAGGGAGCTCATCTGCCTCTCCCCGGATTCGAACCTGCGACCTGTCGATCTTCAGTCCAGCTGGCACAAGGGTTTAACCTACTGTGTAACCAGGGGCTCTGAAACAGAATACAAACCCTTTTTTTTCATGTCAGGAGTGACTTGAGAAACTGCATGTCGCTTCTGGTGTGAGAGAATTGGCCGTCTGCAAGTATGTTGCCCAGGGGAGACCCGGATGTTTGATGTTTTGCCATCCTTGAGAGAGGCTTCTCTCATGTCCCCACATGGGCAGCTGGAGCTGACAGAGGGAGCTCAGCCTGCTCTCCCCCTGGATTTGAACCACCGACCTGCCAGTCAGCAGTCCTGCCAGCACAAAGGTTTAACCTATTGTTTTACCGGGAGCTCCGAAACAGCTGCTGAAACTAGCAAAAAATCATTAACCAAACAAGCCGTAGGCACAGCATAGGTTTGAGTGCTTGCCCGAGCCTGAGAAGCATTGTTTACCTACAGAAAAGGGCGGATTTGCGTCAGTCGGTGAAAAATGCATGGTCGCAAGGTTAATTTTAAACAATCCTCTACTTGATGCACTTTGAGATTTAAGTTGGAGATGCGATCTTCACCTTTGGCTTGACAGGAGTGGGCTGGTATGAAACCGTCACTCTCAATCCAAAGAGGTGATCACTGAGTTGTTTTCCAGGGGATAAGGGAGTAGGAGAACTTATTCAAAAGCTTTTCCAAGCAGTGTTTATATTTGGGCACATAGCTTTACCCGTGATGGATAGGAGTAAGTGGGGAATAATCACCATCTCCTGTGAGGAGGGCAAAACCATGACTTCTCCCACCCACCATGTAATAGTTAATCAATGAGCCCACTGTCAAATAGAACAAATAATCCTATGAAACCTTGAAGGCTCACAGTTTTTCAGGACTGAGGTAGAGATTGTGCTATGCTCTGACCATAAAGGAAGAAAACCTATTGATTAATTGGATCAGTATTCTGTATAGCACATTACTTGTGCTGTAACAAATGTGCTAGCGAGTTGTTGTGTGTTTTCCAGGCTGTATGGCCATGTTCCAGAAGCATTCTCTCCTGACGTTTCGCCTGCATCTATGGCAGGCATCCTCAGAGGTTGTGAGGATCTCACAACCTCTGAGGATGCCTGCCATAGATGCAGGCGAAATGTCAGGAGAGAATGCTTCTGGAACATGGCCATACAGCCCAGAAAACACACAACAACCCAGTGATTCTGGCTATGAAAGCCTTCGACAACAATGTGCTACTCTTTAAGATGCTACAGGACTCTGTTGTTTTGGGGGCAACAGACCAGTGTGGGTGAAACACACACTCTATTCCCACCCCACTTTTGAAATTGGGGTATAGAACTGGGGAGAACCACAAAGGTACGAGCCTCGCCTCCTGGAAAAGCTATTTGGGGAATAACTGTTGGAAACCTCCCTGTGTTGCTCTTTAGAAGCAGGGCTCTTCCCTGCTACTTGCTTTCTCCAATCATTTTGTTGTTCTTCCTTGCACAAAAACACATTTCGAATCCACGGGGAAATGAGCCCAGCATTTTCTTTGGCAGCCGCGTGCCCTTAATCCCTGTGGGTCTGGCATGGATACATCTTCCTCCAAAGACTGCTTGGCATGGGGCATGGGGGAAAGGAGGATGATGGCTGGCAACGGAGCTGAATTGGATTGGGTTAATCTGGTCTGGTTCGCTTACGCTTTCATAAAACAAAATGAAATAAAATAAAAATACTCACTGTCTACACCAGTTAATGGGACATCTGCAGACATTAAATTAAAATCAAGTAAAGGAGTGGGATCGCAGGCTTTTCACTTTTCCTAGAGTGGGACACACGGGCTTGATGTAATTAAAGGCTTGATTTACATTGCCAAATAATACAGTTTGAACTGTATTATAGGGTCAATGTGGACCCATATAATTCAGTTCAAACTGAATTATATGGATCTATGGCCTCTTCCACATAGCTGTATAAAATCAACATTGAATTGGATTATGTAGCAGTGTGGACTCAGTGCAGAGCAGATATTGTGGCTTATCTGCCTTGAGATTCTGGGTTATATGGCTGTGTGGAAGGGCCCTACATTGACCATATAATGCAGTACAGATCCTGCCTTGGATGGAGCCAGGAACCTGGAGACTGCTCATTCGTATATGGGTGAGTACTCATAGTGACTTCAGATCTCTTCATGTCCTCCAGGCCAGATTTAAGAGCTGCTGCTCTGACTTGCCAGAAGTGAAGGTTGTGCCCTAACCACCCCAACTGAGACCAGCTGGAGATTGCCAGGGATTGTGTCCAGGCAAAACATTTATCAAGCCCTGGAGCTAAAGAGAACTTACTTTTTATGTGCCACAACTCCAAACAACTCCTAGACAACCTGCTTGGTGGGGATTCTGGGAGTTGCAGTCCAAAAAAGCCGAGCTCTCCTTGCAAAAAGTAAATTATTTTGTAAAGCAGAACCTTCTTGTCTCTATCAAATTATTTGTGTATGAGAAAGACTAATGGCCCTTCCACATACCCAGAATATTAAGACAGAAAATCCCACAATATCTGCTTTGAACTGGGTTATCTCAGATAATGTGGGATTTTTTGCCTTGATATTCTGGGATATAGGGCTGTGTGGAAGGACCCCCAGGCTAGATCTACAGTTCAATGCACTTAAACTGCATCATATGGGTCTACACTGACCATATAATGTAATTCTAGAACTCTCAGTGTAGATCCAGCCTGAGAGAGTGAGATGCCCTCCATCAAACACACAGCATGGATTTATTTGCTAGGACCCAAAGCAGAAACAGGATGCTCTTCATTTGGGAACAAAGGCATCCTGGGGGATTGTATTTCCCTCTTTCCCATCCACTCTCAGAGTCAGAATAAAATGGTGATTCAAGGTTTTTCATTTTGACAAAAGGAGATCTCCTCGCATTGGAATTTACTCTCTTAATGCTGTCACATCTAAAAGATGCTTCACGGTGATCTGATCCCAGAAGACTGTTAGTGATTTTTCTTTTCATGTAACCTTGTACTTATGGATGAAATGCTCTGTTTCACTTTTAAAACAACAACAAACCAACAAACTGAAGGGGACTAATGATCATTTCAGAGGTGTTTGTTTACATCATTTAGAGAAGAGAGGATTTATTTTTCTTAAATTAAAAAAGAAGGATCAACTGCCTTATGAAGTGGGCAGTTATTGCTGTCATTTTCCTACTAATAAAATGAAAGATGAATGTTGGATTACATGGGCTTTTTGCCTGATCCACCATGGCTCTTAATATAATGGTCACCAATTCTTCATCCTCTAGGCATTTTAGATTTCAGCTCCCAGAAACCGTAAACACCATAGCTACAGGTTAGATTCTGGGAATTAAAGTTCAAAGCACTATTACAAAGGACCATGAGGTTGGGTTGTTGTAGGTTTTTCAGGCTATATGGCCATATTCTAGAAGCATTCTCTCCTGATGTTTTGCCTGCATCTATGGCAAGCATCCTCAGAGGTTGTG